CTTGTTGTTGTTGTTGTTGTTGTTGTTGTTGTTGTTGTTGTTGTTGTCATGATCTTTGTTAAAATCAGGTCTCTCTTGTAAAAGAGTCCCTAGAGGCTCAATGGATTAACCTGTCTAAATAAAGGTTGAACAAATAAAAGCATAATTTGAATCTGAAAACAGTGAAACAAATAAATAAATAAAAACTTTATATTTTATGATTAAATTTTTTTAGGGTGCCTTTCCCCCCAAATTCAGTATCTGGCTTGAAATATATAAAAAAAGACCACAAAGTGTAAAAATAACAAAAATTTTAAAGAAACATTAAAACTGCGGGTCATTTTGGTCACCACGGTAACCGCACACCTGTGGTCATTCCCTGACTGCAAACTAGAGAGGCAGACAGAAACCGGAGACTAAAAAAAAAGCCTCAAACAGTCACTGTGCAAAAGTCTCACTTTACAGATTCAGACGTTTTTTTTTTTTTTTTTATGGTGTTTTACAATATAAAACAACAAAACAAGTGTGAAAAACATAACCTTCACTTTCAAATTTTAAAGTTATTTCTGAAACAACTACAGTTTATGGACGTCATGGCTGTACATTGTTTACTCTCGTGGGGATTTTAAAGAATTCAGTTCAATTCAGTTTATTTATAAAGCGCCAAGACACAACAGAAGTCATCTCAGGACACTGAACAGAAACATTCATATATATAAAAGTCAGTTAATATTATTTATCTGAAGAGCAGACTGCTTTGAGTTTAACTCCATCACAGAACTCTCATCTTGAGCAAACACGAAGGCGACAGTGGAAAGAAAAAACTCCCTCATGAGGAAGAAACCTTTAGGGGTGCCCAAACTTTATAAAAAACTGTATACAAGGATCTAAGATGTACGCTAAACAATAATGTAATATAATATGGTGTATTAAACAGCAGCCTGAACATGAGTCTGTTGTGAGCAGATGGCCATGACTATAGAAGCTTAAAGGTAAGAAATCAGCAGCAAGGTTAATCAGCAGCACAGATAAAGCATCAATCTCCAATTAAAGAGTCAATACAGTGATTTTCCTGGTTAGAGATTCATGAGTCTAACAGCCTCAGGGTAGAAGCTGTTCCTCAGTCTAGTAGTTCCACACTTAATGCTCCTTAACCTCCTGCCTGACGGAAGCGGGGCAAAAAGTGTGTGCTGGGTGAGTGGGGTCTTTCATGATGCAGGTGGCTCTCTTCCTGCATCTGGAGGTGTAAATGTCTGTGAGGTGGGGAGGCAGATTCCATCAGACTTCTGTGCAGCCTTCACCACTCTCTGAAAAGCTTTTCTCTCTTCATTTGTGCTCCGTGCCACACGTTAATGCTGGAGCACAGGACGCTCTCCACTGCTCACCTGTAGAAGGAGGTGAGGACTGAGCTTCCCAGTCCAGCTCGTCTCAGCCGTCTGAGGAAGTAGAGTCACTGATGAGCTTTCTTGATCAGGCTGGTGGTGTTGCTGCCTCAGCTCTGCAGGTGTTCCACCTCCTCTCCAGGTGTTCCACCTCCTGCCTGTAGCCGGACTCATCAGTTTGTGATGCATCCAACCACCGCTGTATCGTCAAAGAAATCTTAATTGATTATAAAATGGTTTGGACAATTTGGCTGTTACACCTGACAGAGTTCATGGTCTTTAACTGTTGATTTACACCATGGGCAACATCAAATTGACCGTTCACCCCACCACCACGTTTGAATTTAACAAACACAGATACTCAGGATTGTGTGAATTCAATACTCTGATCCTGTGCAGTCTACGCTAGGTTCCTGTTTTTAGTTTTATACATTTGTCTCGGAATCTAGTAGTTTTTTTGGTTTTGTTACCTTTTTCCTTTTAGCCATCCTATTTGTTAAAAAAAAAAAAAAAAAACTGTAGTATGAGTTTTTATAACTGCTTATTGTTGTTGCTGTTGTCCATTGTTGTCATCTTTCTTTGTTGAAATCAGGTCTCTCTTGTAAATGAGTCCTCGAGGCTCAATGGGATTTACCTGTATAAATAAAGGTTGATTGATAAAGCTTTAGCTAAAGCTAGGCCTTTTAAAATAGTGTTTTCCAGCTTATAAACTCCTTTTTTAAAAGCTGCATGCATCACTTTGGTTAATACCATCTATCAAATGTAGTTTTCTTTTTCATCTCTTATTTTTTTAATAAAATGTTTTAAAAGCCTGAAAAATGATCAAAACAGGCTGTTAGCTGTTAGCCTAGACTGAACAAAGTCTATTTTCTTCGTTCAGTTTCCAAAGTTTTTTTTCTGTTTCTTGCAATTTTTTCCTGAATTTATTCAATCACAAATCAAATTACAACAATAAATGGCTAATATTTATTACATATACAACTTTAAATTGTATCCACCCACAAATAAATGACGACGCATGGGTTTGTTTGTTGTGAGTTTATTGATTTTTATCCCCCTTGTAATCATAAATCAGTTTTCATTGTAGTTTATTTTTTTTAAATCACTCGTATTGTGTTTAATTATAATTATAGTTTCCAGTCCTCTTCCACAATCAAGCAGGCAGTTTACAAGATTGAAGCTGTTTGGGTGCATAGTGAGACAGTCACGTACGGATATACTGTCACAGGAAGAGGAACAAAAAACTAAAATAAAAATATTTTTCATAGAATTTCTTATAAGAACAACGCACACCACAGAAAGTTCTCTGGAAAAAAAAAAAGCCATGATTGCAACATCAACTATACAGGCACACAAGGACAACACTAAGAGAAAAGGTGGTTAGGATTCGCTCGTTTGTGTCTTCACCTGTAAAAACACACAAATCGGCTTTTTGCCCCTTTCTTTGTTCGAGCCTCGTTTTTCTGTGCGTTTCTGCCTGCACAGCCCTCCAGCTCCAAAAATTAAAAATGCTTTGACGCAGGGCTGGCTGGGCATTTTCAGGGAACAAAAAAAATCTTAAAATTAGCGTAATTTCCGGACTATAAGCCGCACATTTTTCGCAGGCTAACTTGGCTAATTAGTGGATTTTATTTTTTGACGGGGTGACAAACTTCCTGCCGCTCGTATAGCTGCCGGTACACGTCTCTCTTGGGGGGCGGGTCCTCGTGACTCAATGAGACTACCTGTATAAATAAAGGTAAAAAACTGACCAGTAAAATGACTGAACGCGTCACAGTAGATCAATGAAACTCGGTTTCGTTGGTCTCGTTATAGGCACTGCTCAGAAAACAAAACTTTTACTGTACGCGTTTAATTAAAAGTTTAAAAAGTCTTTCATCTTTCTGTGTAAATATCTGTTACAACGTGGACACCTGCAGCTTATACCTGTATATATGTACATTTTTTTCTTTAAAATGTAGTGGGCGTGGCTTATATTCAGGTGCGCTCAATAGTCCGGAAATTACAGTAGAACGCAATCAGAGAAGTTCTGTCCACGCTCGGGTACTTTACCTCCCGTTTGGATCCATCGTTGAGCATCAGCGAGGGTGCACATCGTCCCCTCTTTTTCTTAATTTGGATATTTATAAAAAATGTAAAGCATTTCAGACACGAAATAAAACTAATCGACACCTAAAAAGGAGCTTGTAGACTATAATGCGGGGAAATAAAGCTTCCGATATACATTCAAACTAACTGATTCAGCTTCCCTGCTGTTGTGTTGGAGGTGGAAACGAACACATTCATTTAGTAAAAACTCAGAGTCGTGTTTGAGCTGGGGGGTCTGTGCAAACCTTCACCCTCGAGCAAAAACTATAAACCCTAAACCAACTCACAACCTCCTCCCCGGGAAGTAAAAACAAACAAAAAAACGGTGGCATAAAAACTTCTAATCTTATATATTCATATTTAAACCTTATATCTGTTATCATAACAAAGAAATAATTTCTCTTTTTTTTTTTTTTTTGTTCCTCCATTTTTGTTTTTTTTCACTAAACATTTGAATCGGTACAAAGAACCTTAATATACAAGCAATCTATCAAGATTAAAAAGAATAAAGTAAAACACTGATTATTTCATCGTCAGATTCACGATGGACACTCGGCGAGGTGGAAACAACGGAAGAGTTGTGTCACAAACGTTAGTCTGATTTTTTGCTCACGTTAAAAAAAAAAAAAAAAACGTCTGAAGAAATGTTATACATCTTGATCTGCGTGGTTTTATATCGCTTTATATTTTGCAAACTTCTCTAAATAAACATGATCAAAAAGAGCTCTATAGTACAACAGTAGTAGAAGTAGTAGCTTTTACTCGAGGATTGTTTTCCAACAAACCCGTAAAAAGCAGTTTGGGTGTGTAGAAATGATTTTAACGATAGCATCGTGTTATTGGTCAGTAGTATGTTCCCCGCCGGGTCTCTGTCCTCCGCCGCGAGCCTCCAGCTCCGGTTAGATCTGCATCTGCTCCAGGTATTTGTAGGTGGGGTTCTCGTAGCCGTGGTTCTGCATCTTGCTCAGGTGTCGGCCCTCGGGTGTCAGCATGGGGTCCACCTGCGAGACGGACACAGTGAACGAGAACTCCTCCACAGACGCAAACCATCCGCCTCGGAAGGAGAGCTGTTACGCAGCTGCTGTTCGTTTGCCTGTTAGCAAAATATCTCTAGATCCACTCAAAGGATTTTAATGAAACTTTCAGGAACGACACGTTTCCTTCTGGAGTCGGTCCGATTCAAGATGGCCTCCACGTTTTATAAATAAGGCTATAATTCAGTCAATTTGACAGATATGGAGTTAGATTAGGCAGGGCAGTAGCTGAGATTCATCTTAACACGTACAATGAATGCTAACAAATCCCACCAGGGGCACCACTAAGGGGGGGGCCAAGGGGGGCACTGTCTGCCTCTAAAAAAAAACAAGTTTTATCCTCCCGAGTCCCAAGCTTTTGCTCGGTGTAGATTTAAAAAATTTCCAAGCTATTTAGGAATAGAACATCATTTTAAAAAATAAAATAAATTTTTTTTTTGGATCAAATATAAATATATATTTTTATATGCAATTTAAAAATAAAAAAAATAATAATTTTAGTCCTCTAAATAAGGAAAACCAGTCTAAAACCAATGTTTTGACATTAGGTTGCTGAGTCTCAGGGGGGTTTATGCAGAATATATATCTTTACTGATATTAGACTATTAACTGTAAATAAAAAAACAAAGTAGATCGTTATATATCAGAAGGTGATTCCCTATCCCCTGAATTGCTGTATTTGTCAAATAACCGATATAAGACAACAACACAACAAATCTCCTGAAATACTGTTGTGAATTTTGTTTTTGGTGCCAGTGGCCCCCACACGCCCCCCCCATTAAAACACTTCTGGACACTTTCAATATTACAAGAAGTCCAACATCTCGTTTCTTTCAATATTTGACCAAAGTGGCTTTAACTTGTTTTTCAGTACGAGGTGTTCTTGTGTCAAACGCCGGCTTTTCATTAAACATAAACCGGACGGTCAGAAAGTGACGAGCATCACCCGGTGCAGCTTTACCTCCACGATGCCGTGGCTGATGGTGCCGTACTGCCTTTTCCTCAGGAGCACCAGGCTGATCACAATCACAGTCGCGATGGCCACGGCGATCATCAGCAGGCCGAACAGGGCGGTGCTGCCGAAGCTGAAGTCCTCCCCCAGGGGGCGGTAAGTGTCCTAACGGGCAGAATGAGCAGGGGTGCACACAGAGAGGAAGGTGAGGAGGCAGCACATCCAAAAAAAACATTTCAGCTGATGAACTAATTGGCTGTGGCAACAAAACCTGGTTTTCTCTGCTAATGAAAAATGCTAACGGTAAAACTCCTCTTCAAACGTATATTTTTTACATTTCCATACATTTTTCAATTATAATCATTAGGAAACTGCATTTTGCAATTAAATACTAGTTCAGATCTTTTGAAGTGGGGTTCTGCTGAGAGATTATGGGCGATTAACATCTTACCTGCTGTAGATATCTCTGAACGACGGTTTATTTTTGGCTAACGGACAATCTGAGTGGGACAAAAACAAATGCTCCGTCTCCAGAAACAAGTTTAGACGCAAAGATTTTATAGCGGTTCATGCTAACACTTCTATTAAGTGCATCAGAAGTGCTACAGCTAGCTGCTGTCGGTATTTTACGAGTTTATAAAGTAGAGTTTGTACGATCTGCTGGAACATCTTTGTCCTAACCGGACATTAGTTCATCAGTCAGGTCAAAATTAAACTTAATTTCTCCAAACTAAGGTCGTTCTATGAGCTATCTGCAACAGGTAGGACACTGATGTTTGTAAATCTTCCACAGAACCCTCCTTCAAAAGATCTAAAGTGCGTCTTTAAAAACAGCGTTTAGGATTAAACTCGTTTATCGCTTCACCCGTGCACAAAAGCTGCAGAAAAACCCGGTTTCACGTGACAACCACTGGAAGCACCACTGTTGGAGGACGCTCTTTCAAATGTTTAGTATAAAAATATTCAGAGACGTGCCACAAAACAGTAATTTTACTCTTCATTCCAGTTGAGAAACAATAAAAAAACAGACCATGGCTAAATGTTGATATGAAGAAATGGGTCAAATATTCCCTTAGGTCCGATTTAATCTGATTGTTGCACTTTCAGACTAAAATGTCTCAATATTTGAGTTCTGGACTGAGTAAACGATCATGTAAAGTAGCTAAAAATTAATATTTCACATTTTTCCAGTACTTGTAGATGTTAGCGTGATATACGACGTTTGACTCTGTTCTGTCTTTAGAAACGACGACGTAGCAGTTTTAACGCTGATTAAACTTTTTTCTGGGGACGCATGATATTGGATTTTTGGCCGATATGTTAAAACTTATTTGGCCGATAACAGATACCACTTCTAATATTTTTCCTCTAGACGACTTACAGAGACTACATACCTTTCTCTGCTGTGGAATTAAAATACTACATTATTCTGCAGGTCTTTGTCAGTTTGGCCTGATACCAAATGCAGATGCCAAAAAGGGGCTGAAAATGATGCAACACTTCAACTTGTATTATGATTAACGTCAAATTCATTCATGACATTTACTCTCTAACACAATAACACTCGGAACTGTGCGAGTTTGGAAATTTAAGCAGCGCCTTTTATATCGGTGAGTTATTTTGATGGAGAGGCCGATATTTTACTTTATCGCCAATATCGGTACCGATACCATGCCGATAATATCGTGCATCCCTACTTTTTTTTTTTTACTTGAACGCTGTCTGACCGCTGAGTTAGTGACGCACGCTGTTCCGCTGGGTTGGATTAACCCAGCTCAATCTTCTATCAGACTCAGGTGGGTCGTATTGGACTGGGGGAAGTTGAAGTGTTTATTTTTTATCTCTTTGTTTTAAAGCAACACACACATTATTGGCAGAACAGATGTTTCGTCAGCTGAAACCACCCGATCAGCAGTACTGACTCCACCTGTGGGTGGTTTTAATGTTTTGGCAGGTAGGCGTTTGAGCAGTCTATTAAGGCATGAACGTGCACAGTCTGTCCACGGGTGAATAACGTGGAGCAGACTCAGAGCTCCTCCACTCCACTGGTTTCCACTTCAAAGCCGCTTTGATCTTTAAGAAGTAATATTTTCCACCACCTCCTTTGAACATTTTGATTCAAATGTTTTCAGATCCAAACCCTGTTCCTGTGCAGAACAGAACTTCCCCACATCAACCATCAAACGGACTCATTTCCCCTAAAAACAGCAGATTGTTGATTTTAAATGACGACACGAAGCTCGTGTCTTTGAATTATTGCTGCAGTTTATTCTGCTGCTGAGCGTCGAGGCCTCAACCTCCAGACAGAGCTCCTGACGAGATCCTGACGCACTGATCGGGGGGGGGCAGCTCATACGAACCCCCCTAAACGACTGCGGCGGTCGGTTTAACGTTAAGTATCGTCGTCCTCGTACATTTCTATAAAACAACACTTTGTGCTCTGCTTTGACCCATCGCAGGAGAGACACGCCCAAGTGAAGCAGCGAGGGAGCAGGTGGCAGGGAGTTGAACCTGTGACTTTCTGGTCCCAAGTCGGCTGCTCTACCTCTACGCCACAGCCGCCATTAATATCTGGCGGTGGCCATCTTGGATTTTGCTATGGCGACCCAGTTTTTTTTAAAGGAACCTGCAGGAAAGGCTGCAGCCGCACACCAAAATGGAAGTCGGCGCCTCACGTATTGTTCACGTTGCGACGCGGACGAACAGAGGGCGTTTCCAGTTCCACGTTCTTCTCTGCGATGGGAGGCGCATCGCTGCAAACACCCGGGTCGTTTGGAGAAAACGCTTCGGCACGAATGAATCTTTGAAGCGTCACGTTTCGTTCGGCGTGCGAGCGTGGAATAACCTGCCTGAGCGTTCACACGATGCAGACACAACCCGGGTGACCCACAAACACCGACTCTGGCACATATGACACAATCTGATCATATGTGGACACCAAGTGTGTGTGTGTGTGTGTGTGTGTGTGTGTGTGTGTGTGTGTGTGTG